AAAAAATTTTAAAAATAAAATTCTAAGCAGCCTATAAAACCAATTCTCCCGTGATTTTCCAGTGGATGAATATGATTATAAAAGTTTTCTCATTAAAAGTAAAATGTAAATCTTTTAAGTTAAATTATTTTTCAAATTCAGAAATTAATAGGGAAATAATGGTACTACTGTGTTTGGAGATAGTACCTGAAATGAATGAAAGAGAAAAAAAGGACATCACCAAAGTGGAAATAAAACTGTGGCTAAAGCCTATAAGTGGGAAATTATGCGAACTCATAATAACATCACTGACACTGACTGTATCTTTTTATGACGAGGGCATAAATGCAATACAAATATAGATAGGGACCAGAATGATATTTCTAAAACTTGTCAACGAATGTTTCAGTTATATTTACATACTACGTACACGTACAACCGCTTAAGCCTAATAGCTCGGTTTACTCTTACTCGCGTATCTTCCGTTAATGTGTCGTACTTTTTTTTATTTAATTACTACGTGACACACAATTTCTACATGTAGTTATTATTTTTTATAGTGTGGGAATATTGTGAATTGTAGAAGAGAGGAACGTGGAGAAATGAAAGACCTCTAATGGGTCTAAAATTCTTTACATAAATTGATGGAAAATAGACTTTAGAACCACTAATTCCAAGTTTGGCTTCCTTTTACTAAAGTCGTGATATTTCATTTCGGTTATCTGATTGGGGTGGGTGGGGTCAATAATGCTTGGATTGCTTGATATTTTCTTGGTTACCTTCAAACTAACTAATCGTTTTTATATCGCGATGTAAAATTATGAGATAAAATTAGTATTTGAACATTTAATTTCATCTTATAATTTCAAATTAGTAATTGTGCGTAACGGTGAGACTAATCGTAGAGAAAGTGTTGGAAGATGGGGCTGATGTGGTTCAGTGATGGTGGTTGAGGAGATGTATAAGTGGAGTGAGTGTCTGAGTGATGTGAAAGAGAGGAAAAAAAGAAAAAGAAAAATAAAGATTGAAGTAAAATTTTAAAATATTATAAAAATATTTTTTTACCAGTTTTTTTGTGTTTCACTCTCTCCGTCGGGTTATAGGGAGGTAATAATTCAACTTTATAATAGTTTAAGGAGGTTATAGGACCCCAACAAAAAATATATAGTTGAAATTTTCAGACAAGTTTAAGGGGGTGTTTATGCCTTTTCCCTTTAATAAATGTAAATAACATTTGCCAACTATTATATTGGATATAAATAGTTTGTCAACCTTTGTTCGTACTATGTGGGAGAATTATATTAAAGAGTAGTACACTATAACTCATGTTTAATTTTACTTTTTATTGAATTAAAGTTTGATTCTTAAGTTGCATTTTTTTTAGAATGGTTTTGTGATAGTGTATTATATTTTATTATGAACTTTTACTTATTTGGTAAGATTGTATAAGAATTTGAAAATTTTAAATAATTTTTACAACTTATGAAGTTCTTATGTTCATGGGGAAAAAATACAACTTAAAAATCTCAAAGTGCATGTCCAAATAAAACTTCAAACTTTATCTCATATGATTTCATATCATGATTTCATTTCGCATGGCCAAACGGGCCCTAAATAGGCGTTTGAACATGCGATTCTATATTGCGATTTGAAATTATGAGATGAAATTAGCATTTGGATATGCTATTTCATCTCATGATTTAAATTTCATCTCATAATTTTAAATAATGAGATGAAATTCTAAATTCTCTAAAAAACTTGATTTGGAATTTCAAATCATGCAATGAGATTTTTCAAATGCAAAATTTAATCCACAAGTTTATATTTTGAAAAAAAAAAAGTCCACCATTTTATATATATACCAACTATATTTATAATTTACCAACCATTTATTTAATAAATATAAACAACCTTTGCCAACTATTCCCTCCGTTCTATTTTAATTACCAGGATAAGATTTGCACACCATTAAGAAAAAAATTAATAAGGATGGTAATTTGACTAATATAACCCTATTAATTTTTTGGAAACATACAATAATAATTCTTTTCACATTTTAGAATGACTTTAAGAATTAAGAGTAGAATTGAAAAAATATGGTCAATTATCTCTTGAATTTAAAACTAGCAAGTATTTTGAAACATCTATTTTTATTACATCTAGTAATTAAAATGAAACGGGGGGAGTATTATATTGGATATAAATAATTTGTCAACCATTTACTCTCACCAACCTTTACCATTTACTCTCACCAACCTTACCAACCAAATTTATTACTTGTAATTATCCTTTATTTATCAACTCATACTTCATTACATTTGAACATCCAAAGGGAATTGAAGACTAACCAAGTGCTCTATCATCTTTAATCGGTGAGGTAAATATTCTTTGCTCTTTCAAAACTTGGAAAGGCAACAAATGAATTGTGTCACGTTTCCCCTTCCTTTTTATCAGCAAATGCAGTAATTCTAATTAGTTCAGCCATGCATATTTTATCTTTTGAAATAGATTATTAAGTTATTTTGCCTTTTTATTGTCCGCAATCCACATTATCTATTATGTCGACCAGGGATAATAAAGGTTCATCTATGATGTTTAGTTGTATGTCCTATTACATCCCGTATCAACTATGCTAAACTATGCTAGGGCCGACAAGGCTACTAACTAGCAGCTAAACAAGGTCCCACACGACCAACAACAAACTAACCACAAGGAATCTATAAATCTGCAAGCCTCTAGGAGTGGAATAATGATCGAGACAGGGCCCCGACCTACCCATAAACTGTACAATAAAAAAAGAGAAACCTTTAACTGTTATCTCCAGAGGAAAGGAACTAACTGCACTGCTACCTCTGGCTGAAAGCTAAGAAGGTCTTGATCCGCGTCTATCAGCATCTGCAGGCAAGTAATGCAGCTACCCAAGATGGGCTTCAGTACAATATGTACTGAATATGTAAGACAATAACTGAGAATAATCGAATAAAACTTAAAATGAAACTGAAAGTAACCGAGTGAAAGGGATAGAGGTATAACCTGAATAACTTAACTTCCTGCTGTCTAATCTAGCAGTAAAAAGTGCAAACAAGAACCTTACCTGGCCCCCATAAGCCGGAAGGTACAACCAGCATAGAATAACCCGCTCGGGGCCCCCATAAGCCTTGGCGAGTACACTTCAATCTATATACCCCTAACAAGGTCCAAATGAGTCAACTAATAACCATAGTCGTCCTACCAGTCCCCTGGGTCTGCAACTGAGCCCGCTCGGCCCCTGAATTGTAGCTGTGTCTGAGTCCAGTAGACTCCTGATATCTGTACACCGGGCACCAGGCTCGACGGGAGTATGGTGCCGATACGACATAAAAATAGTCCAGCCATGGAATGGACTGTGTAAGGTCCTCAGACCTCATCTTCGTCCCTTGCGAATGGTATACCGCTCCTTGGAGCAATGTTATATAGCCCCTGGAGGGCAACGACACAGCTAGTAACCCTAGGTTGGTCATGGAATGCTATACAGGAAAAAGTCAATCCCTAACTAAACATAAGTACTCATCTCACAACAACAGCTATTCACAATAACAAAACTTCTGGCTCTCTTACTGAGATTCAAACTGTATTGCAGTACTATAGAAACTAACTTGCCGAAGAAATTTTTCTTAACATACATCGATTGCCATTTCTCGAATAACTGACGAGTTTCAACTTGTATTCAACAGCTCTTTCCAAGTACAATCGTAATACTGGGAGAAAGAGACTAATTTTAATACCAAATTCGACTTAAAATGATAACTTTTGATATTAATACAATTATAATTCAACTACGTAAAATACGGCCGGAAACCTATAATTTTCTGAGGGTTCAGACAGGAGAAATGCTTACTTGATACCTGTGATTGTTTAGGAATCAGTTTGGAGCAATTCTGACAATTTTTGCTCGGCGGGGTTACGATTTGCCAATCGAATTTCAAGAAAATAACTCCGTAGTAACGCTCCCTGTAAGCTTAGAATTCAATACATGAAGTTAATTTGAATTTGGACGGCGTTTGATAGTGTAATCGGATGAAAATTAATAGAATTCTTTGTTTTCCTCCTTCTCTGGCTGAGAAAACAACTTGGAAATGAACTTACAATTGAAGGAGGGGCCTTATATATAGGTGAGTTCGGTTGGCAGGGGGCGCTCCACGCCGGCCATAGCGCCAGCAGGCCCCCGCACCGTGCCTCTCCTTGCGCCAATGTGCTAGCGCGCCGCGCTGGCCGGGTCGCGCTGGCCCTTCATGGCCTAGCCTCGCCCGATCCTAGTTCTGAGACTTTCCTACACGCGTCGTACTCTCTTTATTCATCACAAATCTACGCGTACGCTTACTAATTGTTAATTTTTACGGGGCGTCTGTAACACCCCATTGCTAACTAGACGGGCAACCGCCCATATATTGGCATACTTTTGCAAAGGAGAAAGAGCAAACCCCATTGAAGACGAGAATGAGGTACAAGGAGGCTATTTCTGTTCACCACTCTTCTTGCGGAGCCGTACGAGGACAACCCGAAATGGCTGGGGAAAGGAAAGGTTCTTTTATTTAGGGTATTCCTGGGAACAGATCTAGTGGAGACGGGTGGGGCCTGTAGCTCAGAGGATTAGAGCACGTGGCTACTAACCACATATCGGGGGTTTGAATCCATCCTCTCCCTATGGTTCCGGGACTCAAGTTTCTGGAGTCGCTAGATGAGACATTCGATTTACGAACCGAAAATCTATCTCCACAGCAAGTTTCTCAATTTTACCTGGTCCATTACACTTTGAACATGATAAAACAATACTTATTGACTTAATTAATTATGTGTACAATCTATATATAGGATTGGGTTGGCATGCATAATTAGGCGGTGCAAGTATTGAAAATAAATATCGTTTGACCTTGCTATAAAAATTACCGCACCATGCGTGGAATACCTTATTAATCTATATTTTAAACATGGGGTTAATTATTTTACTTCTTTTAATTCAGGCTTTAAATTAAACTATTTAAATTGAACTAATTTCCTATATATAGTGTTGTAAATTATGTTGAAACGCAAACCGTAAATCACATTTTAAAAATGTCATTTATAATTTCACTATAAGAAATAACTTTTTGTGACGACTCATTTAGCTGCCATGAAAAGGCCCTAAAAGAAATTGTTAACCATTCGTTTTATTTTTTATATTTCAAATGGGGAGTTAATTTTTTTATATGGTCATTCAACTAATAGTAATTATCTTAGAAAGTCATTTTTAAAAAAAAAAATTGTAATAGTAAAGTCACTCAATTAATGATATTTATATAATAAAGTCGCATTTCTTTATTTTGTAACTGAAAAGTCTTCGACTATTGTCATTTCTTTCACCTACAAAGTTACTCAATCAATCAATTGAGATGATATTTCTGATGTGAAAGCTTTTTTAAGCCAATCTTTTAAAAAGTAGAAAGCTATCCATTTCAATCCAAATTTCAGTAGCTGGATTAAAAATATGATTATTTCATGTCCAGAAGTTAGATGTTATTAAAATTTCTTGAATTCGAAAACTCGAGAATTTGGTATGCACATATGTAACTCCAAAAAAATTTCAGACTTATTCTATGTTTCGCTTTTATAAGATTGAATATTTTGATAGTAAGACTTGTTTTTCACTTGTAGAAATTATAAAGCTCCAAGAAAGCGTCTTAAAATTCGAAGAGGTACCGTGAGTGAAATCTCTTTTAATATTATATCATGTAGTTATTTCACTCCTTATATATTTCAGAAAATATCACAAATAAAATATCATTCAATTATTATTTCACTCAACATATTTATTTTGAGCTTAAATATTATATCATAAAGTACTACTATAAGAAAAATAATCATTTAACATTACTTAGCTCATGATATTTTCTTGAAGATTTGAACTCTGCTAGTTTAAACTCTATGAAGAAATGTTGGAGTTGAATTGCCCACAACTCACAACTCCAGGTATTTTTCAAACTCTGTCCTTATTTGATATAGTTTCACTTGTCCAATCTTGGAACTTCAATATTTTGTGTTTTAAGCAGAAAGTATTTTTATCCTAATTATTTCGACCTTAAAAAAATTGTTATTTCTCAATTATATTTTCACAATGCTACTTGAAGTGAGAAGTGCTAGGTCAAGATATACTAAATAACGGATCATAACCAACATCTCTTAACTCTTATCAAATTTCAATTTATTTTATTTTATTTCTTATAATTTGTTAACTATTGAACAAAACTAATAAAACTTTTATTGTTCTTTATTATAGTTATGTATAACNTTTATTTTTTAGAAAAACATCTAAAAACTCGATATATAATATTATACAAACATTATATATAATCTTAAGAAGTGTTTATACACTCATTTACACTATTATACACTACTACACAAAAATTTGACTTCGTTATCTTCCTCGAATTCAAGCAATTAGATTCATCCAAAACACCTCAAAAACTACACCAATTACCCTAAATTTCATATTTAGGCTCCTCAATACGTACCCGATCTTTTATAACAACACCAACTCAAAACGAAGCTTATTTACAAAAATTTAATTTTAAAACTTTGAAACTTCGAGCTTCAACAATGACTGCCTATGGAGTTTCGGCTTATAATAATACCAACAGGAAAAAAAAAGGAAAAGAAAATGAGATTACAGAAGAAGAAAAATAAGAATGAAGGAAGAGATCAGTTCTTTCGAGTTATTGAGTTAAAGGATGAAAAAATAAATTTCAAATTACATTAAAAAATTATACTAAATGTAATAATATTATTATTTCATATGATATACCATGTAATTTTCTCAAAAATATACTAGCGAGAATCTACAAAAGATTAAGTAGTACCAGAGAAGCCTATGTATGAACAAGGATTGATTTTACTTCCCCATCTAGCTACTCT